GGTTTGCATCATGTAAGTGTCTAATTCTGGTTTTGAACCTCATGAAACTCTTGATCTCGATTTTGTCTTATTTTTATTATATTTATTTATATTGCCTCCTAACTCAGAAGGTTCTGCATTTCATTCAATAGTATTTTAAAGGTATCTGCTATTATTAGTTTTAAATGTATGTCTTCTACTTTCCTCAAGTGTCACATTCTACTTATATTACAAAGAAGATAAATGGGAACAATATTCTCCACTGTTTAGTTTACTGTGTGCAAATTGTTCTTCTCATCTTAGCTCTTTCCTCATACAGAAGTTTCTCCATGCTCTCACAGTCGGGGTTTTTTTTTCCCCATCTTTATTTCCGTTCTGATTATTTACTTGCGATGTTCCTGGTCTGAATACAGTGGCCACGGGAATGTGCCACACTCTTCTCTTTGTTTGGGACCACTCATGAACAGCTCTGAATCTGTATAATCGATATATGTGTGCATGCGTAGCCTCTGCACCTATGTGTGTGCATTCACTGCATAGATAGATACAGTAAGAACTATAAAATTCCCTGTTAACTTAGAGAACTAATTTATTCAGTTTCTCTATTTTAAATTGAGTTAGATAAATACTCATCTGCCCCATGTGCGTTCTGTGGCCTGTAGGAGATTTCACAGTAATTTCAGTGTCACTGGGTTTGGCTTTAGAGTATATCTGTCAGACTTCAGTTCAACTAATCCCTCTGAGGTGAAGGCATAAGATTTTGATATTATTAATGCCTCATTTCATCTAGTTAATGATCTTTTTAAGTATTCCATCTTCTTTGTTATTTACTTGCAATGCCAGATAAAGATCTTATTTAAGTGAAGTATTATGAAATAATAGAAATCTTTATTTCATTTTAATACAGTCCGGATAAATTAATCCAGTAGAGAATCTGATGTTAAACAGCTGCAGTTCTTAGCAGCATTACACGTGTAAAATTAGGGTAGGTTCTTTGAGCACTCAGATCTTAACAGATGTGTTCTTTTTCTCCATATGTTATAATAAAATAAGGATTTGCTCTAGACGTATTGACTCACTAAGTCATCTTGGCAAACATTCCATTGTATTCCTTACACAGTGTCAGGTGTGGCTATTATTTAACTTTAAATAAATGTGTATATTAAGTAGCTGTAAAGCACATATATATAAACAAAATCAGTTTTTCCTCTAAAAGTAATATATTTTGTTGGCTTTCTTGTTTACTCATGCCTAGACAAAGGAATGCTGCATCTTCAAAACAACATCTGTCAAACCGATTTTCATCAGATTAAGTATATCCTCAAAGCAACCATCACAGCTTACAAAATACTGGAAATGTAGGTTGTGCTTTGCATAAAACACCAATAGAATTTAAAGCACTTGAAGTGTTTTACAAACGTAGTGATGATAGCCTGTGCATATTCTCCATTTTTGTTTCTATTTTCAGTAGGTTCTTGGGAAAGCTAATGAGTGATGTTGCAACACTGCAATGTCAGTAGATGTCCCACAGTGCAATTAGAGAGTTACAATCCTGGCAGCTAATCTGGGTCTACAAAAGCCAGTGGTTTGAGAGGCTGACAGTGGAGGCTGAATTTATTGCAAAGAAGTTCATCTGTAGAAAAGATTTCTCTCATTAAGAATGAAATTAAAGTGCGAATCAGTGACTGATTATCCAGGCCTTTCTCTGATCCATTGAATTTCTCATTAGTATAGATGTGTGACTGTGTATGCTCTGGCCTGATTCGGATTCTATAGATCATCAAAGATAATTGGTAATATTAAATTTTTAAAGATCTTTTCTGGGAGAGGGTAATCTGATAAAAATGGGGGGAAAGCCAGTGATTTTTATGTAGAGCATAAATAAAGACACTTAATCATACGCATTTCTGGCCAGCTTTCTACCTTTTTTTCCTTGCTAGGGAATAATTAATGCATGAAAATGAGCTTCCTAATAGGCTGATGTGTCTTCTGTAGCAGCGAAGCATTTTGCCTTTGTAATCAGTTAAATTGAGAGGTGAAGTCTCATTACAGTGTGTGCCTGCAGCTGAGTGTGGGGAACTGAAGTCAGCCAGAAATGAATGATAGGATTTCTGTACAAGATTTTTGTGGATGGAGGGTAGAGGTGCTTGAGCTAGAAGCCAAGTCAACATTACCATTAGTTCTTACGTTTAAAAGGTGGAAATCTAGCATAAGTCAAGAAAAGTCCAGTCAAAAATCTACTAAGAAGACAAATAAGGGTAAAAGTCAAGGACCAATCTGTTCCAGCTGCATTTGGATGTAGATACATTTTTGTGACTCTGTTTTCCCATTACCTATCTGTCACTAAATTGTCCTGTGATACCTTAAAATGTTCTACATGAACCCTAAGCCACTTAATGTGGAGTGTTTTGGTGCCTACCACACACCCATGGGTTAGTCCTAGTTAGCATCCTGTTCCTAAGAGAGTGACTAAAGACAGTCCTAGAACCAGTTGCATACAAACAATGCTAAGTATGTTATTTCATGAAAGAGTGCAAGATAAAGTCTTCGCATCTGAACATAACAGCTTTTACCAGGAAATTGGTATTGCTGATTTTTTGTCAAATATGCTAGCTACTTCTGCAGCATTACTGAAACACAAACCTCAGGTTGGATTTTAGCTTAACTGAATCTGAAAATTATCTTTACAGAATCTTCAGCCTATTTCCTGAGACAGAAGAACATACTACTAAGTAAAAGAAATGTACCAAATAGTCTACCTCTATCCAGCTCTGTTGTGTACCCAGGGAAATTAGCACTTTAAGGTTTGGGTCCTTTGAATATTAACAGCATGATGTTTCGAACAGGAGACCAGGGTTTCTGAGAAGACGTTTGCAATTTGCAGCAGTGAAAGCTGTGTTTGAAACAACCATTATACAAGAGATTCCTTCCAGTTGTCATTTTTGGCCAAAACCATGGAGCATTTAACTTGTTTTTAAAGCAATTCTTTATGAAGGATGAAACACATACAGTGTGTTTCACACATACAGTATGAAACACACTGCAAATAACACAGTGTGGTGATGGGCAGACAAGCCGTAGCACGTTCAGCAAATAGAGGCTCTCTCTGGGAAATGCTGATTTGAATTTCATGTGTCGTCTAAGCATAGTGAACACTGAAAGGTCATGGTAAGAATATAAGAAAAAAATCCATCTGATTTGAATTTCACGCTGTCCAATATTGTTAATAATGCAGTGTCAAACAAATAACTGTTTCTCTGAGTGTGACTAAAGCCCAGTTCCATGTGTAGTTGAAGAATAACTTGCCACGCATTTTTTTTCCATTTACTGTTCATTTCCTGTATAATGTCATGGTCTTAGTTTATGAATAGTACCTTGAGCCACTGCCGTACATCCGTGTTTTCCCAGTCAGAGTTACTGCTTTGAGTTTGTTACTCAGCATCCAGGAAACCTCATGAAGACTGTAACATACGAATTAGCTCAGTACAATTTGGATAAAATGAAAGTGTTTTGCTGTCAATCTTTGATGTTATTAGTTTATACTAATAGAAATTTGGATTGAAGATGTCTAATATAGCTATCAAAATATCCTTTCTTATGATAGGAAATGTTGCTGGTACTCTTTAATGGAGGTATTTCAGAGTAGAATGCCCTTCTTTTTTACCTTTTTCTAATCCTGTCTTTCTGACTTTTTAAAATTCTCTAGAAGGGATGATGCATCTTTTAAAGTAACTAGGGTGTTCACAGCAGTACCATGACTTAAACAGGGCTCAGGCAATATTTACTAGACCATTATATCGAGTTCCAATACTGTGCCGCTTGTTAACTTAACATCGCATAACATCATATTAATAAATCTTTACAGGCTGTGTAGTTGTAAAGTGAATCATAATAATCACTATAATTCCTCGGATAAATAATTTGATTTGTGTTTGCTTTGTGTTGTTCCGACCCAATTAGCTGTAACATCACAGGGCAGGGACCCTTCTCATGGTGCAAGTTGATGAACCACCTCTCCGAGTCCTCAGTTATGGACTTCTCAGAGGGAGGCACAACTTTACCTCCGCACTCTCCTTCCCTTTGCAATGCCTCAGGTTATGTGGTTTTCTTACAGAAGTATTACCTCTATTGCGGAGATTTTCTGGAGCTCCTGGTCTTCATCATTCTGCAGACTCCATGTACATGTATGGGTTTTCTTGCCCAGGAGACCACTGAAGTTGCTAAGTATTTATAATTTAGACACTTTGGTAATGCCCACCCCCAGGGATAGACTGATAGACATGGCTACTCTTTGGCCTTCATGTAGAGTTGACCAGTTCAGTAGATTGGTGGCCCAGGGAGACTGATCGCATGTGCTGCCCAAGCACCGAGTTGAATTCTACCCATAGAGAGTCTGTTCCTACTGGCATGGATGGAGGTCTGCAAATGAAAAAGCAGGGAGGGCTTTGCTTTGTTTTTTAGTGTTTGTTTTGTTGTAGACTTGATTCTCCTGTGTAATAAAGTAGATAAATACCCGCTTGAAAAATCTACGGTACTGGATGTTGGTTTTTTAATGAGACTCAGAATCTTAATCCATTTGATTGACAGATACAAACTTGAATGTTATTTTATTCTCCATCACGACAGTAAGTTTAGTCCAGCTACAGTTTTCGTTGTTACAATACAAATACACTAAGCCTAAAGAACTGCTGGCAGCTTATCGATAAAATTTGAGGATTAAGAAACCAATGCAAACAAACAAAGACTCTCAGCTTTAAGTAAGGAACAGAGTGTTGCTGGACTAGCCTTTTACTGCTGTCAATTAATATGAAGCAATAGCAGCCAAAACTGATAGGTCTGTTCTTGGCTGCATTAAGAACTAGTAAGGCAATAGTCATTTGAAGAGGAAATTTGTCTTGTCTATTTGAAACATTCACTAATTGTCAAAAATGCCACTTTTTTTTATATTGTATATGTGATGTACTTTTCATTTTCACCTTTGAAATAATTTATACAAATAATCCCTCTTATTTTTTTTTCAGCCCACCTAAGCCAACGGTGTTCATCTCTGGTGTCATTGCTAGGGTAAGATTATAATTAAAATTCTTTAAATCAGCGAAAAATTATTGTGGGCTTTTCAGAATTATCACTGATAAGGCCAAAATTAATCTTTTGCATTTCTCTTCCTCTTTTATGAGAAGACGCTTTATGTTTTGTTTGTTTGCAAGTCCCTTTGAGCATTCTTTTTGCTTTTGTGTGAAATTGAAATTATTTATTGAAATTACTTCCATTGTTTTATTTTGAATTTTAGCACTTTATTGGATCTTCTTTTGATACCTAAGCTAGTCATTACTGCATTCATTTCCTTTGAAAGCAGTTGCATGTTAAGTCTGCTGCTATAGCTTGATCTGTGATGAGGAGTGACATTCCTGCCTCTCAGGATATGTGCTTGAAGATACGTGTTTCAGCTGCCATTTGTGCCTAGAGGTACATGGGATTCAAGATGTTATTCCCTGGATTTCCAGGACCTGGAAATACATGAGCTAAATAATTAATATTAACTAGCCATTAATTTCATGATCAGTAATTCATGCCTTGTGTGTTGTGACAGAGTTTTTATTGTGGCTTTATATGATGGCCACCTTTCGCATGATAGCCTTACATCACTGGGGTGTGTAGTGTGGTTCACCGTAAGATGCTGTGGTTGCGTCAGATCATGTAAGTGGAAAGAGCAAGCTGATGCCATTTTCCCTAACCCATAGGGGTAGTAGACAGGCAGTGTTGTATTTCCTGGACTTCCATCTGCACCAAGGTGGATACCTGTTTAGGCATTTACATGCCTAATTCCTTGTAACTAATTATTGCCTTAATGTTTAGTAACTTTGATAACACTTTAACAGTTGTAGGATAGTGATTTTTTTTTTACGAGTGACTTACAAAATACTAGACATAAAAAATACAGGCTCCCACTTTAGTAGGCATGCAAAAGATTCAAAATGGGTAGGAACTATTCTCTTAATTTTATAACTCAGCTTTTCTTTAGATAATCAATTACCTAACAGGGTACTATATTTATCCTTAGTAAGCCGTCAGCTACAAGTTGGTGTATTAACCTATGAAGAGCAAAATTGTTCTATCATTTTCTGAGACTTAATAGCTCTCAAACGTGTATAAAAATTTCTTCTCTAGGTAGTAAACCAAACCTAGAAACGTGCTTTTGAACCCAGAGTAATTTTTCAGTTATGTTTTCAAGTTTCCTGGTGTATAACCAGTTCTCACCAGTGTTAAGTAGAGGTTTATATAGTATCACCTGTCCTGTTTAATGTCTTTATCAGACAGAAGACTCCTCATCAAGTTTGTGGATGGCACCAAATTGAGAGGAACGGTTCATAAGTTTGAGGGCAGGGCTGCTACTCAGAGGAATCTGGACAGGCTGGAAGAATGGCAGGCAGCATCTGGACATGAGCCAGATGCGTGCGAGACAGCAAGAAACCCAACAGCAGCCTTGTCTGTGTTAAGTAGCTGGTAGGGATTATCCCCCTCTGCTTGGCATGCTTTAGACCACTTATGGCATAGTTCATCCAGTTTTGGACACCCAGTGTATGAAAGGTGATGATGAACCAGATCACATTCACTGGAGAGCCACCAAGATGGTCAGGGGCTGGAGCACATGCCCTGGGAGGACAGGCTGAGGGAACAGGCCTCACCTAGCATGAAGAAGAGAGAGGTTCAGGAGCACCTAACAGCAGCCTTTCCACACTCCACATACAAGATGCTGACACAACCACAGCATCTTACAGTAATTATCAAGAAGACGGAGACAGGCTGTTTGGAGTGGTGCATGACAGGCAGACGAGAGACAACAGACACAAACTGAAATGGAAGGGCCTGACCAGGCATAAAAAATGAACTTTTTCACTGTAAGGAAGTTCAGGTGGTAGAACAGGTTGCCTGGAGGAGCTATTTGGTCTTGGTCCCTATAGGTTTTCACAATCAGATTAGATAAAAACCTTGAGTAAGTGGACCTGATTTCCCCACTAACTCTGCTTTGAGCAGGAGGTTGAGCTAGAGACATCCTGAGGTCCCTTCCAATCTCAATTATTCTATGATACTTTGATTCTAAGATAGGCATTTCCTGCTAAAATTTACAGACTAACTCTGTCATCTGCTTGACTGTTACATTACCCACAAATCATAGAAGAGCTACATTCACATCACTGGTTTTGAGACAACAAAATATGAGGGGTCAGAGAGGTATGGAAAAGACAAACAGCAGCATAAGGGAGAAAAAAGGTAGGAAATGTCAAATCTGAAAAGAGGACATCTTTGGAAGCAACTTAGAGTAGAGGAAAAAAAAATGGAAGAAGTTAACCTAATGATCAAGATTTTAAAAAACTATGTCAGAACAGAAAGAAACTATTTGGAGTAGATTGAAATGGTCAGGTGTGAAGCAGGTCATCTCAGATGTCAGCTTTGTACAAAATACCTCTGTGTAAGGTTGTTCCCCCATGAGCCGATGGAATGCAGGGAGATTTTGGCTTATATGTTTGCCCAGTTTCTAAAGAGGCAAGTTGTGGTGCTATTCTCCTCCCTTATCACTGAATGCTCTAGTAGTTGTTTCCTATTGCTTTTTGAAAACCTGATGGGACTACCCCTAGAAATGATAGTTGTAAATAGGTGGTGTAAGGGTTACACCTGCACTGAGCCTGCCCAACAGCAGCATGTGAGAACTAACACCAGCAGACCTGGTTAAAACAGCATGTTAAACTTAAAACTTGTGGAAGGTGTCCTTGCTCATGGCAGCAGGGTTGGAACTAGATGATTGTTAAGGTCCCTACCAACCTAAAGCATTCTATGATTATGGAAAGCCAGCCACCCATAAGATTTGAGTCAGAAGTCTGGTTAGATCCTGCCTTTCTTCCTACAGAACTGGTATTCCTACATAGGTTTCATTGTACACATAGTTTTTCACACTGCCTAACCTTACTTGTAAAATAATTTCCTCTTTTCTGGTTGCTCTGTCAAAACCAAACAGGTTAAGGAGATCTGACCATACAGAAGCAGTGAAAGTGACTTAGCGTGAGGAGCTATTAAGTGTTGAAGATAAGAATGCTGGGTTTTTTCCCCTTGGGTCACTTTAAGATAGATACTGTGCTCTTGGATGGTGTCTGTAATTGGAAGAAGTGAAACTTGAGTGAGAGAAATTTGAAGTTGGGTGAAAGAATAGCAAGACAGGATGTGTACAGGGGGGCAGGCTCCAGAGGAACGTGCAACATTGTTTTCCATCTGCTTTTCACACTCCTAAAACCTTACATGCATTTGAACTGGAAAGTACACTTTTAAGATTTCTTACGTTTTTCCCGGTGTGTTCTTTGAACAGGGTGATAAGGACTTCCCTCCAGCAGCGGCTCAGGTAGCTCATCAGAAACCACATCCTTCTGTGGAAAAGCTTCCTCCCCCACAGCATGTCAAACAGCACATCCACCAGCCTCGCAAGTGAGCTCTCTCTCAATCTCAGCCAAACTGACAAGAGTGAATAAGTTTTCGAGAGAAGATGAAAACCCTTTAGGATTCACACTGTCAAATCAGTTAAATTGACCTCTAAAATAATATGCTGTTTCTTTTACTTTAATTCTCAAGGGTTAATAAGAATGAAGTTCATTTGTTATCCCAGATGGAAAATTCTCTATTAAGTATTTGCTGATTAGGGGTGGTTTTTTTATAAGATTTTTCTTATTGCCAATATAAAACTTTAGTATGAATATTATGATTAATGAGCTTAAAACTTGTACTTTTAGGTGTGGCATCGCAGTAGCAGATAGTTAATGTAGCTTTTATGTTAAGCCGGTAAGGAAGAATAGCCCTTTTGTACTGATATCTTTAGTATCTGGAGGGAGTTTGTGTATGTTAAGACAGAAATAGGTGGTTGTCTTGCTTATGTAGAACCCTTGCAGCCTCCAGTATCCTACAGTGTTGCACCCCAGTGACTATGCCCTGTGATTCCAAGTAGTGAGATGGTGGAAGGGCCCCGAAACATTCGCAAGTGGGCAGAAATACGGCTGAATCTTCTTTACACCTCTTTGCAGTCACAAAGCCCTGCTGAGGTTCTTCCATTTGGAGGTCTGTGGGAATGGAAAGGGGAGAGACATCAGAGTTACAAGAACAGTGCTGCTGTAGGTAACTGATTTGTGATCTCATGGGTCTCACTGGGGGCTGCATTTTTATGAGGTAATGATTTCTTAATTCAAGTAACAAGCTGAAGGAGCTCAGGACCCTCCAGAACAGAACTTAAACTGGTGGAAAATCTGTATTCTTTTTTGACTTACAGTTTGAGATCACTTTTTGAAATCAAGAGATATCATTAGTAAATGTGTTATGTTTTATGACCCAACCTCTGTTGTTCATCATGGCTTTTTAAGAACGATAGTGATAAGAGAGTATAAAAGTTACTTTTCAAATAGACTGATCAGGTTAGTTTTGGCCACATAATGAAATTGTTCAGTTACAGAGTTCAAAATCACTTCTGTCGTTTCCCTTCTGAAGCTCATCTCTGTAAAGGCCAGGAGAATTATGTTTTTAAACATACTATCTACTTTCTTAAAATGTTCTTTTGTTTTTAACTGACTATAAATACAATAGAGCCTTTAGTACCCTCTAGGTTTATGAAACTTCTAGTAATGTAAAAAAGTGTGTAACAGAGATAGAGCTGCAAACATTTGCCTGGCAAATCAATGAAAGTTTGAGGTCACCTGGGCCTTTACCTAGTTTGTTTATGTTTAAAATCAAATAATATAGAAAACCAGTGAGGAGAGTTTTAAAAATATTATTTTTATAAAATTTCTGCAGATTAAATAATTATTCCCTGAGTAGGTGTTTTAAAACAACAACAATCATGGCCCATTTCACAAGTGGAATAACTCACTTCATGTGGGCGAGAGGGACTTGGCATTTTTATCTCTCCATAGCCTTGAAATGGAAATGATGTTTTGCGAAGTATACGCATGGATACATTTATTCTATGCCCAAGGAAGGATGTACAATCTGTATGTGCAATCCTTATTACCAATTTAATTAGGTAACTGTACTTGCCTTAAGGAATGAGCGTTATTTATAAGAATTATTCTGTATTAGAATATGCATCATTTTAAAAATACGCTTTCCGTTTCTGATGATGGTGCATCTGAGGCCTTGTTTGTAGCTGCTCATGAGTGTGTAGGTGATTCACACATGAGTAACTCATTCATAAGGGTAGCATTGTTGACCCTCTTGGAATATCTGCATGAGGTAATTTGCTGGCAGGGATGTTTGCAGATTCAGGACTGAAAGCAGTGGCATCTCGATGGTGCAGCCAGTAGGTGCCAGCATGCTGCACCAGCAATGAAGCAGGTCATCGCAGTTGCTTGGTACTGGTAGCTACCGGCTTGAGAGGGAGCTGGATAGGATTCAGCTTTCCTAGTCCTGTGCCTACATCTGAAGTAGTGTCTAGATGCCAGCTGTAGTCAATGGTGATGTAGTCAAGACAGTCAGTAGAGTTTAGGTATGGTGTCTTGGACCAAATGGAAGTGTCTTTCAAGATGAGCTGGATCATTCTTGACTCTGACTGCAGTGGAAAACTAAACATTACCTCAGTGTAGAAGCACACAATTAGATGTGGCTGGGTACCTCTACTCTGTGTCTACTAATAGCTGGTAGAAACGCTTCTGAAAGCAACACCACATTTCCATTCTAATACTAAAGTTATGAACATGGATGCCTTTGGATTACAAACTGCTGCTCCTGGTTGTTAATACGATATCTACACCATGTATAGAGAATACCTGAATTTTGTCTTTGATTACTTAAAGGGATATGTAAGTTTGTACAATCTAGTATGGCTTTCAAGATAGCTTTAATGGCTTCTAGAGTGCAGGAATTCCTATATGGTTAGAAAATGTCTCTGTATGAAAGCATATTATATATTGTTGGGAGGTATCCATGTTTATATATAGGTGTCCTTACCAAAGCATTACCTTTCCCAAAATAAAGAATCATAACTGGTGATCTGGATTGCCTTCTGATGGTTATTGGTACTTTTGAAATATGTTACGATAACATAGAAGCACAGGAGATGTTCAGATGTTACCTTGAAATGATTGCAAAAGAAATTTTCTGTAATTGTCAGTGTGGCAATAATGCAATAATAAAGCATGAAGTTGTACATTGAGCTCTTTTTTTTCCTGTAAATACAATGTAAAGCAGCAGGGTGCAGTTTTGTGGGGTTTATGAGATTTTATTACAGAATGCTCCTTGGCTAATCAACATTTTATACATAGTGAAATTTATCAGGAAGTTTTATGACACAGTGGATGAGCTGTTTCGGATAGTCCAGTCTCATTTAAAATAAAAACTAGATGCTACCAGCTAGAATGGGAATTGCTGTTTTCCACTGTGAAATTGGAGATCCTTGATCTTTGTGAAGCTATTGAATCTAGGCCTGGTAATAAATCAGTCTGATAAAGGAAATGAAATTTAATATTTTCAATTGCTGTTCAAGTTACAATATTCTTTCAGGAAAAAAAATGTATTGTAATCAAGATGTGGCAAGTTTCTCATAAAACTGCAATTAACATTACATAGTGCATGCCATAAGTGATTCACAAATGAGTTTGGAGAAATAGCCACAGTGCTTCTGGTAGCTTTTTGATACTTCGGGCATCCTGTATTTAGTAAATGTGTCGTGTGTATATAATACAGCAAATGCATGTGATAAAGTGCAGATATGATAGATTCACTGCCCTGGGAATATTGCAGTGTTACATCCTTAGACACTGCACTCACATAATTGTAGAGTCGTTTAGGCTGGAAAAGACCTCTAAGATCATCAAGTCCAACCCAAACCTAATACTGCCAAGTCCATCACTAAATCACATCTCCACATCTTTTAAATACCTCCAGGGGTGGTGACTCCACCACTTCCCTTGGCAGCGTGTTCCAGTGCTTGACAACCGTTTCCATGGAAAAATTTTTTCCTCGTATCCAATCTACACCTCCCCTGGTGCAACTTGAGGCCGTTTCTGCTTGTTCTGTCACTTGTTACCTGGGAGAAGAGACCAGCACCCGCCTCACTACAACCTCCTTTCACGTAGTTGTAGAGAGTGGTAAGGTCCCCCCTGCACCTTCTTTTTGTACAACGCTATTCAAAAAAATACCTTATTTCATTAAAATTAGGGGAAAATACGTGCAGGTGATGTCTGGCATGCTGTTGATTGAGTTGTCCATAATTATTCCAAGTTTCATGGCCATGCTATCAGCAGTATTGCAAATGTTATTAGTAGTTAGAAATTATTTCCTCCTAGTTTCAATACATATGGTTTGCTCTTTTGTCATCGGATGTCTTGAAACGTGAGTCTTGCACTTTATTTGTGGTAATATGATCATCACATGCTCCTGTCTGTTTAACAAATTATTCAGAGCAATCTGTTTCATGCAAAGGTGAAGGGGATGGATTGGACATACATTTTTGTCCCTTTGGGTAACTTTATTCTGAACACTCACCATCTTCAGGGAGGAGGGAGAAGTGGGTTTTTTAAACTACTTCTTATGTACCCTACAGATTTGGGTATATCAAGTTTAAATTAGACTTAAGGCTTCTCCAATGCCTTCAGCTATAGGACTGAGATACATTATAGAATCATAGAACAGTTAGGGTTGGAAAGGACCTTAAAATCATCTAGTTCCAACCCCCCTGCCATGAGCAGGGACACCACACACTATTAATTGCATTTTAGAAAGTGTGGGAATGTCAGTAAGAGTACAATTAATTTTACAGGGGGGAGAGATGTTGCTGATCAGGAGTTGCAATAATGTAAAGAATTCAGAGTCAAATCTCTGTTTTAATTATTTTTTTCCTTTCCCCACACAAACCTCCTTCCTCACAAGGTAAAGACATTTAAATATAACTGGTTCCAGCTAACATTATCCGCTCTGTCAGTAAAAGGGGAATGCAGATCATAGTGGCTGGAGGAGCCACGATGAGAAGAAACTGAGTCAGGTCTACAGCGGTAAATCTTCAGATTTCTTCAAGAAGATGGGTAAAATAACCCTGCCCTCTAGCTGTAGCCTTAGGTAAGTGCTGTGCGTGATTGTATTATGTGAAGTTAATAAAGGTAATTACTAAGTACCTGATTTGCTTTCCTAAAGAATTCTTCCTTTCATCAGAATTGCTCTATCGCACCTCTGGCACGCACACTTGACTTAGGAAGGTGGAAGTTTGTATTTTGCATGTTGCTGTGTTCTTGGGTCTCCTTCGAGAATACATATTTATTGTTTTTTCCTTATCCCCCCTCAGAAAAGAGACTGCATCTTGCATATACTGATTTTTGAGTCATCTTATAAAATGGTAGCACTAGTATTTAGGTAAAGAAGCCCAAGAGGAGGGGTGGAATGGGCTGTATTTTACAAAGCCCTCTGTGAACAAAGAAGTCAGTTCCGTTGCAAAGACTCCCTTCCCTTCAGGATGCT